TTTCTGGCGATTCCACCACTTCCCTGGGTTGGGGAGGTGGCCCTTCCACTAGGAGGGATAGAACTGGATGGTCTTTAAGGTCCCTTCCAACCCCAAACGTTCTGTGATTTTCTGGCGATTCCACCACTTCCCTGGGTTGGAAGAGACCTTGAAGATCATCAAGCCCAACCATCAACCCACCACTGCCCAACCCACCACTGCCCCATGGCCCTCAGCACCAGCTTTTAGATCTCTCCAGGGATGGTGTTTGGGGAAGGGTTTTCAACCAAAAATTGGGAAACTGAGATGAGATCTGGGGAGGAAATTCTTCCCCCTGCGGGCGGTGAGAGCCTGGCCCAGGTTGCCCAGAGAAGCTGTGGCTGCCCCATCCCTGGAGGGGTTCAAGGCCAGGATGGAGGGGGCTTGGAGCAACCTGGTCTCCTTGAAGATGTCCCAGCCACCAGAAGGGATGGAACTGGATGAGCTTTAAGGTCCCTTCCAACCCAAAACATTCTGTGATCCTCTGGCGATTCCACCACTTCTCTGGGTTGGAAAAGACCTTTAAGTTCATCAAGACCAACCACCATCCCACCACTGCCCAACCCACCACTGCCCCATGGCCCTCAGCACCGGCTTTTAGATCCCTCCAGGGATGGTGTTTGGGGAGTGGAGCCATAGGACGAGGGGGAAGGGTTTTCAACCAAAAAATTGGGGAGATTTAGGTGGGATCTGGAGAAGAACTTGTTTGGTGTGAGGGTGGTGAGAGCCTGGCTCAGGTTGCCCCGAGAAGCTGTGGCTGCCCCATCCCTGGAGGGGCTCAAGGCCAGGTTGGAGGGGGCTTGGGGCAACCTGGGCTGGTGGGAGGTGTCGCTGCCCAGGGCAGGGGGTGGCACTGGGAGGGCTTTGGGGTCCCTTCCCACCCAAACCAGCCTATGGTTCTAAACCAAAAAGCTGTGGCGGGGCTGGAGAAGGGCCACCAGGATGATCCAAGGATTGGGAAGCGTCAGGGATGGGGAAGGGCTGGGAGAAGGGGGTTGGTTGAGAACAGAAGGCTCTGGGGACACCCCATCACCACCTTCTGGGAGGGCTACAAAAGAGATGGAGATCCCTTTTTACAGGGGGTTACAGGGAAAAGAGGAGGGGCGATGGGAATGAGTTAATCCAGGGGAAGATTCCGACTTGGATGCAAGAGGAAAAGGTTTTCCCTCTGGGAACAATCAGCCCCTGAATTAAATTCCCTGGGGAAACGGGGGGTTCCCAGCGTCGAGCCGGGAGCTGGGTCTTTTCCTCACCAGGTGATTCTCGAGGTGCCTTCCGACCTGGGATTCTCTGATTCTATGATAAAAATGAGGCTTTGAAACACGAAAATGCTTTTGGAGAGTAAAAAAAAAAGTGGTCTGGATCCTATAAGTGTAGGTATAGAGAGTGAAAAAAAGGCTTTGGGCTTAAAAAAGAGGGTTTTGGACTCTCAAAATGCAGCTTTTGACCCCATGAATGAGAGTTTGACCCCATAAATGAGGGTTTAGACCCTAAAATAAAGCGTTGGGTATTAAAATAAATCTCGAAGAGGTTGGAGCAGATGATCCTCAAGGTCCCTCCCGCCCCAGGATTCCAGGGGAGTGCGGAGCCCGGGCTAAGCCCGGCTGATCCGGGCAGCTGCCAAGCTATTTTGGGCAGTGAGGGCTCCTCAGAGCCTCTTAAACCTCCTCGGAGACATCTTTTCCCAGCTGAGGAGCCCTCCCTTGGGTTCATCCCAGGGTTGTGTCTCACCAGGGGATGCTCCCAGGGCACCACCAGTGGCTTTTGGGCACCTCCCAGTTTATTTACTGGAGGTGGAACTTCTCCAAACCCCACTCTCGGCCTCGCACCTGCCGTTCCTGGGGATCCCATGGGGCTGGAGTGTGGATGGTGAACCCTCCCACCCCCTCCCTGGGTTATTCCAGCCCCCCCTGCGGCACCTGGGTTCCTTCAAGCCTCGTTTAGTGACGATTAATTAATTAAAATCCAGGCTGGGAGGACAGAAACAGGTTGTCGAGCGGCTCCGTGCAACGGCAGCGCCGGGTCCGAAAACGAACCCCAGGGAAGCGTTAAGACCGGATGTCTATTAATTAAACTCTTCCTAATGATGAGGAGGGGTGTCAGGTGCCGGTTCGGGGGGGGGTTGGGAAAGGGTTGAGAAAAAGGGTGGGCTGGTTCTCATCCTGGTTTCCCCCCTCTCCTTCCCGGCAGGGCGCGGATGTGAACTGCATGCACGGCACCCTCAAACCCCTGCACTGTGCCTGCATGGTGGCCGACGCCGACTGCGTGGAGCTGCTGCTGCAGAAAGGAGCGGAGGTAAAAGGCTCGTGAAGAGCAAAAAATAAAGAAAAAAAAGGTTTAAAGTGTAAAAAAGCGCCTTGGAAAAGGAGGGGGGGGAGGAGGTGGCGGGTGCGAATAAACGGCTGAGATGGGAACCGCTGGGGAGAGGAGGAGGAGTATGAGGATGATGGAGCACCTCTCTGCTGAGGGACCTGGGGCTGTTCAGCTGGAGAAGAGAAGGCTGAGGGGGGCTCTCATCAGCAATATCTGAGGGGTCGGGGGCAAGAGGATGGGGGCAGACTCTTCCCAGTGGTGCCCAGTGAGAGGAGAAGGGGCAACGGGCACAAACTGGGACACGGGAAGAAGTTTCATCTGAACACGAGGAACTTCTTGACTTAGAGGGTGGCAGAGCCCTGGAAGAGGCTGCCCAGAGAGGGTGGGGGGTCTCCTGCTCCAGAGAGATTCCCTCCCCCCCCAGATGAATCCAACCTGCTCTGGGTGACCGGGGGCTGGGGGGAGATGGTTCCAGAGGTCCCTTCCCACCCTGATCCGGGTGATTCTGTGAGATTTGAGAGGCTGATTTTCAGCAGTGCCGGTTTCGTGCCCCCTCACGGGGCAGAATGGACCCAGCTGAAGGTTCCTCCTCCCCATTGGGAGGGAAACGTTTGTGCCCGAGAGCTCGGGGGTGTCGCTGGCGCGGGGAGAGGGGGTTGTTCCGTGGAACAATCCTGAAGGAAGAACCAAATCCTATATATTTCCCTGATTTTTCCCATTTCCCTCTGGCCGCCGGCAGGTTGTAACCTCGACTCCCTGCATCGTTTTTTCCGTCCACTAAATTTGGGGGGAGGAAATGGTTTTGCGGGGCTTCCCCTGGCACCGGCAGGAGCTGGGGTGCCTCAGTGACCCCCCCCCCCAAAATCTTCTCCCCTCCTTCCTCCCCTCCTCCTTCCTCCCCTCCTCCAGGTGAATGCCTTGGACGGCTACAACCGAACAGCCCTTCACTACGCGGCGGAGAAGGACGAGACCTGCGTGGAGATCCTCCTGGAGTACGGAGCCAACCCCAACGCCCTGGACGGCAACAAGGACACCCCCCTCCACTGGGCAGCCTTCAAGAACAACGCCGAGTGCGTGCGGGCCCTGCTGGAGAACGGCGCCTGGGTCAACGCCCGTGACTACAACAACGACACCCCCCTCAGCTGGGCGGCCATGAAGGGCAACCTGGAGAGCGTCAGCATCCTCCTCGACTTTGGGGCCGAGGTGAGGGTGGTTAATTTGAAAGGCCAGACCCCCATCTCCCGCCTGGTGGCTTTGCTGGTGCGGGGTTTGGGGACGGAGCGGGAGGATTCCTGTTTCGATCTCCTCCATCGAGCCATTGGACATTTCGAGCTACGGAAAAACGGCACCATGCCCTGGGAGGTGACCAGGGATCAACAGCTCTGCCAGAAGCTCACCCGCCTCTGCTCGGCCCCGGGGACTTTACAGACCCTCTCCCGTTACGCCGTACGCCGCAGCCTGGGTGTGCGCTTCCTGCCGGAGGCCGTCAAGCAGCTGCCCTTGCCCACTTGCCTGAAGGAATACGTTTTGCTCCTCAGCTAAAGAAGGGGAAAAAAAACCCAAAACAACCCCGCCCCAGGTGCCAGGGGTGGTTTTTTTGGTTCCTTTCCTCACCACTTCCTCCTGGATGAGGTTCACCATTCGGTTTGAGACTCGCCGGTGCCACCTTTCCCTCTTCCTGGTTTTCTTCCTGCTCTGCTTTTCTGCTGGGGGGTGGCAGGGATCCACCAGCAACGGGGATCCACCAGCAACCGGGATCTACTGGCAGCCAGGATCCACCAGCAATGGGGATCCACCAGCACCAGGGATCCACCAGCACCACTCATCTCCCCGCTTCCCCCCTCCATTCCAGCCTCATGAGAGGAACCATCCCCCTTTAATTGCAAATTATATCCCAGCTGTTGGATTAATTGGGGTTATTTCCTCTTTTTTTTGTTGGAATCGGGGCAGATCTTGGGGAAAGGAAAATTTTTCTGGGTGCGGGGAGAGAGGGGGAACTCCCTTTGAAGGACCTTCTTTGAAGGATCTTGGAGAGAAGGACCTTGGGTTTAGACCCGGAGGATTCCTGCGGGATGTGTCAGCTGGAATTTTGGTGGAAAAGCCCCCAGTTCTATATATTTTAT